GAAGGGCCGGAGCGGAGTTTTGCTCCCCAGGATCTGAGAGGCAGGGGGGAGTCCTCCTCCCCTCCAAGTTCCCAGGGTGCTGGCACATGAGTGCCGCGGCTCGTCCTCTCTGCAGCCTGCAGAACTGCCACGGTGCCTGTAGCATCACGCCAGACCGCGAGCTCTTAGCAGGGAGTGCTGGCCTCACGCGGGCCCCCTCCCCGCCGCCACTGGGCCGCCGCGGCGCTGCCCGTCGGAGGGCATCCGAGGAGAACCGGGCAGGAGGGATCAGTCAGCAGGTGCTCACGAGCCAGTTACTTCTCAGACTCTCCGGCATCTCGACACGCGTGTGCGTTTCCAGACCCCTGGCGTGACAAACGGCCTCGTTGGGGGCTGGAGAGCCAGCTGCCGGCTGACAAATGATCTTGGCATCATGCCAGCGTCATCTGTGCGGTCATTTGCTAACATTCCCGCGTGAACAACGGCTTTGCTTGGTGCCGCCGGCGCCCTTTCCCCGAGCCCGGGACTGACCCCCCCCCCCGTGTCTCGTAGTCATGGAGGTGGCGTCCGGCGAGTACGGGGACCAGAATGGCCGCCTGGTGAGAGCAGTCCGGGAGGGCCTGTGTGACTCCGCCTACAAGAAGGAGCTCGGGGGCGATGACGAGGTGACCCCTTTTCTTTGGCACCGGCCCTCTGAAGAGGTAAAGCAGACAAAGCGCGTGAAGGGGTTGAGAAAGGTAATGCCACCCCCGGGGCCGCCGGGGCCACACGCCGCCCTGCACCTGCCGCACGCAGCTCCTCTCAGCACGGAGGGCCCGGTCCCCGGCGGCAGCCTCACCTCTGCCCTCTCGCCTGTGTCCCCAGGACTCCGCCTCCGTGGAAGGCTGTCACAGCTTCTCTGCCAGCTGCCTGACGCAGTTCTGCATCCTCTTCCGACGCACCTTCCTCAGCATCGCGCGGGACTCGGTAAGGCTGTCCCGGGGCTGCTCCCGGGGAATTCCCGTCGCCCATCCCGACCGGGCTTCCGGCTCGCTCTCCCTGCACGCGCGACAGTCAGCCTGCTCCGCTAGACAGTCCGTGTCTACGGCGGTCCGTGCCGTGTTTCGCTCGTGTTTTGCGCTGGCGGCCGTGGGTCGTGCTGGGTCCCTGCCCCGCCGTCTCCTCACCCTGCACCCGGGAGGAGGGGGCGGCTCCTCCCCGACACGCCTTTCCAGGCCGTGGCGAAGGGAAAGCGCAAGAGGGAAACCGAGGGCAGGGAAAGCTGCTGCTTAGAAGGGGCAAATTGTCACTTGTATTCACGTGCCCTTGGCCAGAACAGGGAGGTGGCCAGACCTGCGGTAAGGGATGTGGGCAGGTGTGTTCCTCTCCGGGACCGCACCGCAGGCCGCGAGGATGGGCGGGTAGGACAGTTTCTCCCGGGGAAGGAGCGGGTGGACACGTGGCAGCCTCCTGGCACCCCATTTAGGCGGACAGCTGGCCCCTGCCCAGGAGGGGCTGAGTGCCCGCGTGGCTTCTGGGACCCAGCTTGGAAGCTGGAGGGGCTCGCAATGGCCCGCGCCAGAGCTGGTCCGGGTGGGATTTGACGCAGCCACGTCCCTCCCCGTCGCCCGCACTTCCCTCTCCCTGCGTGCGGGGAGACTCCCTGCTCTCTCGTTTCTGGAGAGGATTTCACAGAGGACAGCGCAGCCGGCCCGCAAGTCCACGGGGAGTCTGCCCCAGACAAACCCGCACACCAAAGTCCGCACACTCCAGTCCCGCGGTCGGCCCTGCGGAGCCCAAGCGTGCTAGGGTTGGCCCTCCTTTGCGTGGGCTGCACACCCCCGAATGCTGCGGTTTAGACCCGCACTGGCTGTGGCTGTGGAACCCGCCGGTGCGGGGGGGGGGCGGCTATTCATGCAAAGACAGTTGTGTGCAGTGGGCCTGAGTGGGTCGGCCCATGTGTTCAACCGTCAGCTGTTTACTTGTTCTGATAGTAACAGAGGCTTCCCTGTGTGTGTGTGTGAGCATGTGTGTGAGTGTGAGCATGTGTGTGAGCATGCATGTGATGGGTGTGTGTGAGAGTGTGAGCATGAGTGTGTGAACATGCACTGTGTGGAGCATGTGTGTGAGCATATGTATGTGAGAGCATTCATGTGTGAGAGAATATGTGTGTGACCATGCATGTGTGTGAGCACATATGTGGGTGAGCATGCATATGTGTGAACATGTGTGTGCATGTGTGTGCGTGTGTGAGCACATATGTGTGAGAGCATGGGTATAAGCATGTGTGTGGGTGTGTGAGCATGTACATGTGTGAGCATGTATGTGAGTATGTGAGCACATGTGTGAAAGCATGGGCATAAGCCCATGTGTGAGTGTATACACATGTGTGTATGTGAATATGTGTGTGAGCATATGTGTGATCGTGTACATATGTGAACGTGTGTGAGTGTGAACATATGTGTGAGCATATACATGTGTGAGCATATGTGTGAGCGTGCATGTGTGTGTGCGAGAGAGTGGGTTCAGGGTTCGAGCTTGCTGCTCCGGAGGGGCAGTGGGATGAAGCCCGAGGCCTGCTGGCCCAGCAGTCGGGGCCGAGGCTCCCAGCGGCCTTGGCCCGCTGCGCTGGCTGAGACCCGTGTCTCCCCAGGTCCTGACGCACCTGCGCATCACTTCGCACATCGGGATCGGCCTCCTCATCGGCCTGCTCTACCTGGGCATCGGGAACGAAGCCAAGAAGGTGCTGAGCAACTCCGGCTTCCTCTTCTTCTCCATGCTGTTCCTCATGTTCGCCGCCCTCATGCCCACCGTTCTGACGTGTGAGTGACAGCGCGGCCCCACCTCCTCCTTGTTCCCCGCGCCCTGCCCGAGGACGGTGCTGAGGTCATGCCCTGACCAACAGGTGCATTTTCTGAACACATAGTATCTTGGTTTTTTAAAATATCGTCTTCTGTGTTGACAAACACAGGTTTTACTGAATTTTCTGGTACACGAGACGGTATGTTTCAGCCAAAGGAACGAATCACTAATGGAAGGTTTTAAGCATGGTGGAGGCTGATGGGAGGGCTATTTCTTGGAAGTGAACTGCTCAGGAGCCCCTCCGATTCTACCACTTGAGCATCACCTGGTTGGGTTGTGGGGTAGCCCTGGTACAGCCGAGTTTGGGACGGGCAAGCACTCCTGGGGGGATTTCCACGCAATCGTAGCTCGTTCACAAGCAGGCTGCTCTTGGGCACTTGGGGCCGACGTGGACACGGGCGTCACTTTGCCGGAACTTCAGCACGAAGCCCGCTTCCCTACACCCCACGCCCGCGTGGCCCGGCGTTTCCTAGAGCAGCCCGCAGGCCCGCAGGCGGCCGACGCTGCGGGTCTCCGCAAACTCGGTCAGGGTTAGGCCCGCGGCGAGCCCGTGTCAGCCGCGCCCCGCGTCCACACGCAGTGCCCCCGTGGGTGGCCCTCGGACTGTGAGAGTGGGTGGTGGCGGCTCTCCCGGCCAGTGAAGCGCCGTCTTTCCGTTCCACCTGCGGGCGCGTGAGCACCGAGAGGCACGGGGGCGGCGGGGCGGCGCGGACCCTGCGCGTGTGCGCCCTCACGCCCGCTCTCCCGCCCTAGTTCCCCTGGAGATGGGGGTGTTTCTGCGGGAACACCTGAACTACTGGTACAGCCTGAAGGCCTACTACCTGGCCAAGACCATGGCCGACGTGCCCTTCCAGGTGTGCTGGAGGGGCGGGGCCGCCCTGGGGGCGGGGGGAGGGGGCCTGGGGGGCCGGATGCTGTGGGTGGTGCCTGCTGGGGAGGTGGGGTTCCGGGGGCGGGGCCTCCCCAGGACGGATGCCATGGGCGGTGCCTGCCAGGGATTGGGGTTCCGCGGGCGGGGCTTGGCGGGGGGAGGGGGCCTGGCTCCGTCTCCCGCTTTCTCTAGGGCCCACCCCTCCAGTGCGGGGCGGGGGCTGCCTGGCGCCAGGACAGCGCGGAGCCTGGGCTGCACCTCGAGTGGGAAGGAAGGCCGCCATGCGGGAGGGAAGGAAGGCCGCCATGCGGGAGGGAAGGAGGGCCGCCATGCGGGAGGGAAGGAGGGCCGCCATGCGGGAGGGAAGGAGGGCCGCCATGCGGGAGGGAAGGAGGGCCGCGGGTGGCGCGGGAGGGAAGGAGGGCCGCGGGTGGGAAGGAGGGCCGCGGTGGCGCGGGAGGGAAGGAGGGCCGCGGGTGGCGCGGGAGGGAAGGAGGGCCGCCATGCGGGAGGGAAGGAGGGCCGCGGTGGCGCGGGAGGGAAGGAGGGCCGCGGGTGGCGCGGGAGGGAAGGAGGGCCGCGGGTGGGAAGGAGGGCCGCCATGCGGGAGGGAAGGAGGGCCGCCATGCGGGAGGGAAGGAGGGCCGCGGTGGCGCGGGAGGGAAGGAGGGCCGCGGGTGGCGCGGGTGGGAAGGAGGGCCGCGGGTGGCGCGGGAGGGAAGGAGGGCCGCGGGTGGCGCGGGAGGGAAGGAGGGCCGCGGGTGGCGCGGGTGGGAAGGAGGGCCCAGGGTGGCGCGGGTGGGAAGGAGGGCCGCGGGTGGCGCGGGTGGGAAGGAGCCCAGCCCTGGATGCGCCTCGCCGCGCACCCGGCAGCCCCGCCCGGACCGCCCACAAGCGCCCCGCCATGGCATCCGACCCAGCAACCCTGCCGGCGGAACCCAACCTCTGGCAGGCACCGCCCATGGCATGCCGGCCCCCCCACACGCCCGCCCCGAACCTACCGCAGCGCGCCGCCGGAACCCCACCTCACCGGCAGGCCCCGCCTGGCATCCCGCCCCAGGCCCTCCGCCCAGGGCGGCCGCCCGCCAGCACACCTGGAAGGGCACGTCGGCCATGGTCTTGGGCCAGGTAGTAGGCTTCAGGCTGTACCGTAGTTCAGTTTCCGCGCAGAAACACCCCCATCTCCAGGGAACTAGTGGCGGGAGAGCGGCTCGTGAGGGCCGCGGCACGGCAGCGGTCCGCGCGCCCCGGCCGTGCCTCTCGGTGCTCCGCGCCGCAGGTGAACGGAAGACAGCGCTTCACTGCCCTGGAGACCGCCACACCCACTCTCCAGCCGAGGCGGCGCTGCGTGTGGACGCGGGGCGCGGCTGAACGCCTCGCCGCGGCTAACCCTGACCGAGTTTGCGGAGACCCGCATCCGTTCGGCCGCCTGCGGGCCTGCGTCGCTCCTAGGAAATGGCCGGGCCACGCGGCGTCGGTGTAGGAAGAGTCCGTGCTGAAGTTCCCGGCAAAGTGAGCCCGTGTCCGCGTCAATAGGCCCAAAGTGGCCCAAGAGCAGACCTGCTTGTGAAGAGCTAACGACTTGCGTGGAAATCCCCCAGGACGTGCTTTGCCGTTCCCAACTCGGCCTGCTACCAAGGCAATACCCCACAACCCACCAAAGACGTGATGCTCAAGTGGTAGAACCGGCCAGGGGCTCCTGAGCGTTCACTTCCAAAGAGAATACGGCCCCTCCCATCGAGCCTCCCCCATGTGCTTAAAACCTTGCCATTAGTGTTCGTCTATTGGCTGAAACCACTTCGTCTCGCTGTACCAGAAATTCCAGTAAAGGCCGTGTTTGTCCCCACGCGCAAGATGATATCTTTACAAAAACCAACGATACTACGTGTTGCTTCACAGTAAATGGCCACCTGTTGTAGTCAAGGCATCGACCTCACGCCACCATTTCGCTTGAGAGGACAGGCAGCGTGGACAAGAGAGGAAGTCAGCGGCCGCGCCTGTCACTCACGACGTCAGAACGGTGGGCATCAGCGGCGGAACCATGGAAACCAGCAGTGGAGGAAGAAGAGGAAAGCCGAGGTGGCTCAGCACTTCTTGGCTCGAGTTACCGGGGGCGGCGGATGCCCAAGGATAGAGCAGGGCCGGGATGGGGGGAGGCCTGATCACCGATGTGCGAAGTGATGCGTAGGTGACGTCAGGACCTGGAGACACGGTCTCAGCCAGCGCAGCGGGCCAAGGCCGCTGGAGCTCGGCCCCGAATGCTGGGCAGCAGGCCTCGGGCTTCATCCACTGCCCCTCCGACAGCAAGCATCGAACCACTGAACCCACTCTCTCACACACCACACATGGACGGTCGACCATCATGCTCAATTCATGTTTATTGCTGCAACGACATATGTTCACACTCCACACACGTTCACATATGTACACGATCCACTATTGCTCAACACGTATTCCACATTACACATCATGTGCATACACTCCCACATGTGGCTGTATGCCCATGCTTTTCACACATGTGCTCACTACTATGCTCACACATGGTTACAATGCTCACACACCACACACATGCTTATGCCATGCTCTCCACACATATGTGCTCACACACTCAACAACCATGCAACACACAGTGTGTTCCACATGCATGCTCACCCACATACCGTGCTCCCACCCACACACTGCATGTCCACACATATTCCTCTCACACCCATGAACCTGCTCTCAACAATTTATCAGTATGCGTTCACACACATTGTCCACACGCAGTGGCATTCCACACACTCGAGGTGCTTCGACTACTCTCACAGACACCGATGGCAGCATGCATGCTCAGCACACGATGCTGCACACTCACACACATGCTCACACTCACGACAGATGCTCGCCAACAGCACCACAGGGCAGGCCTCTGTTACTATGTCAGACAAGGTAACAGCTGGTGGTTTGAAGACACATGGCCGACCCACTCAGGCCACTGCACACAACGCTGTCTTTGCAGTGAATAGCCGCCCCCCCGGCCCGCCCGCCACCGCGGGTTCCACAGCCCACAGCCAGTGCATATAGGGTCTAAACCGCAGCATTTGGGGGTGTGCAGCCCACGCAAGGAGGCCAACCCTAGCACGCTTGGGCTCCGCAGGCCACGGCAGGGTACTAGAGTGTGCTGGACTTTATGGTGTGCGGTTTGTCTGGCAAGACTCCCGTGGACTTGCGGCCGGCTGCGCTGTCCTGCTGGAATCCTCTCCAGAAACGAGAGAGCAGGGAGTCTCCCCGCAGCGCAGAGGAAGGAAGTGCGGCGACTGGCAGACGTGGACTGCGTCAAATCCCCCCGGACTAGCTCTGGCGCGGGCCTGTTGCAAGCCCCTCCAGCTTCCAAGCTGGGGTCGCCGAGAAGCCGCAGGGCACTCAGCATTGGGCCAGCCTGGTCCGCCTAAATGGGGTGCCAGGAGGCTGCCATGGTGTCCACCGCTCCTTCCCCGGAGGACTGTCCTACGCGCCCGTCCTCGCGGGCTGCGGGGTGCTCCTGGAGGGAGAACACTGCACGGATCCTGTACGGCAGTCTGGCGCACCTCCCCTGTTCCGGCCAAGGGCACGTGGAATACAATGTTGGACAATTTGCCTGTCGTAGCCGCAGCAGCGTCCCTGCCCTTGGTTTCCGTCTTCGGGTTCCCTTCGCCACGGCTGGAAAGCGTTGTCGCGAGGCGCCTTCCCTCGCCGGTGGCAGGTATGAACGCGGCATGACCAGCAGCCGCCCCACAGCGGCAGCGCAAGACCACGGAGCGGCACGGCACGGACCGGCTGTAACACGGACTGTTAGCGGAGCAGGCTGACTGTCGCGGCGTGCAGGGAGAGCGACCGAAAGCCGGCCGCCGGTCGGATGGGACGAATTCCCCGGAGCAGCCCACAGCCTTACCGAGGTCAACCCCGCGATGCTGAGTGAATGGTGCGTCGAAAAGTTGCAGAACTGCGTTCAGGCATGCTGGCAGGAGAAGCTGTGAAGCCCTTCTACGTGTAGGCGGATGTTCCTGGACACAGTGTTGCGTGAGAGGCGACGGTGAGCTGCCGCGCAGGGACCCGGGCCTCCGTGCTGAGAGAGCTGCGTGCGGCAGTGCAGGCGGCGTGCTGCCCCGGCGCCCGGGGGTGCATTACCTTTTAACCCTTTCACGGCGCTTTGCTGCTTTACCTCTTCAGAGGGCCAGGTTTTAAGGGTTTTTCCGTCCGTTCGGGTTAAGGGAATGCCAAAGAAAAAGGGATCACACTCGTCCCATCGCACCCCGAGGCTCCTTCTTGTAGCGGAGCCACGCTCCCGGACTGCTCAATCACCAAGGCGGCCATTTGTCCCCGTTACTCGCGGACGCCACCTCCATGACTGCGAACACACGGGGGTCAGTCCGGCTCGGGGAAAGGGCGCCGGCGGCACCAAGCAAGCATTGTTCACGCGGGAATGTTAGCAATATGACCGCACAGATGACAGCTGGACATGATGCAAGATCATTTGTCAGTCGGCAGCTGGTCTCCAGCCCCAACGAGGCCGTTGCACGCCAGGTCTGGAAACGCACACGCACGTGTCGAGATGCGAGATCTGAGAATAACTGCTCGGGCACCTTGCTGACTGATTTCCCTCTGCCCTGGTTCCCTCGGATGCCCCGACCGGCAGCGCCGAAGCGTGGCGGCAGGGGCGCTGGGGAGGCTGTCCTGAGTGAGGCAGGCACTCCCTGCTTAAGAAGCTCGGCGGTCTGCGTTGATGCTACAGGCACCGCACAGTTGCATTGGCTGCAGAGGAGGGCGAGCCGCCCACTCATGTGCCAGCTACCCTGGACTGGAGGGGGAATGCAGGATCTCTCTCTGCCTCTCCACGTATCCTTGGGAGACCTCCTTCCTCTGCTCTGCCTCACCACCTGCCTGCATGTCCCCCCCCGACTGCAGCTTGCTCTGGCTCCTCCACCCGCCGCCCACCACATTCTCTTT